ATATCAATTAATTAACTTATTAGAAAATATCTTAATATTGCTATTTGCTGAAAAAGACATATGGAAAAAGTGTTCTGAAAATGGCAATTGAGAGTTCAATTTTTGGAATTCACTTCTTCAAAGTCATATCTTTTTTTGAATATTCAAGTAAATTCCAAAACTTTACGGATCACGTTTGACGACGAAATTAATAGTAAGTCTTATGAATAATTGGTCTAGTACATTCGTCAAAATGATGCCAATTGATCCATGGCCCCCAAAACATTTTCTTGACGTTATGGACTTCGACGTTCGTAAAAAGATACCGTTGTCTTGGAAACTATGAATGTTAAGTAGCCTCGAAGGTTTGCACTCGTCAAGAAAGGAACTCAGCTGTGAAAGAATTTGATGCGAGATAGATCGGAATCGCAAACAAGATTGAAAGAGTGTATATGTGGACCATTTCTTTGATTGTAAGATGGGGATGCTATCTACTTGGATTTCTCTAATAGCCCTGCTTGGTTTAATACAAGTCAAAGGAATTATATCATTGGATTTAAAAAGCTGTAATGCAAGTGAGTTTAATTCATGTCATTGGTGCATTTTTTTCATCAACACTATTTTGTTAAATAATTCGCTCGCAATAATTCAGTATTTTGTTGATACTTTGCATAAAAGATCTTAACTTCAATTACTAAATCTTAATATACATTAAAATAATTGGAATGAAGTTTCTGATTTTCTAAACGTTTTTTTTTTTTCCTGTGGTATATAATTCTATAATTACACAGTTATTCTATTTAATGAAAAAAAAGCGACTTTCTTTTAAGAAACAATTAAAGAAAATCTGACTTATTTTCACTCATGATCTTTTTCCTAACTAATGTGAATTTAAATAATTTTCCTTGACTTGAAGACCTTTTTATTTTCGTTCCTTATAAGATGAGGACTTAATTCATGGGTGGTCGGGTAGCGTGAGAGTTATTATTAATGGCTTACTTTACGAACAATAGAGGTCTTGAGGTTCCCACAGTGGGCTATTAATAATAATATGTACAATTACATAAAATTCAAAGATGCACCAAAATGTGTCTTTTAAACTGTTGGATTAAGAATCCCAGAGAAATTTAGTCCTTTGTCAATAAGATGTTTAAATCTATCCATGGACTGATCTCATATTAATTTTATTACCTTATTAATCAAGCACCATTAACCGTCGTCACACTTATATTTTGACTTAAGATTAACCAGCTTCAAACAGGTTTTATTTCCAAATTATCCTTTAGTGTTGTTAATTTTTTTTACTAATACTATCCTAATTCTTCAAATTGATTGACTAGTGCGAAGGAATGTTCAAGACTAATTTGTATGACTAAAATCTTGTTTGTTAACATGTTTTTTAAAATTTTCTTTTAAATAATTTCAATTTTAATTTTTAAAAATTCTCAATAATCAAAGAATATTAAAAGAACTCACTCCGCGTTTGTAAAGAAAGACTGATGGTCGTGAACAAGACTACTTAAGAAGAAGTAGTTTTAATTTGTCTTATGAATATTTATTGATATCGTGTACTTGGTGATGTGTAACTTTCTTGAGAAGTGATTGATGGATTAGTTGATTCAATCAGTGTTTTAATAATTAATAAAAACTTAATGGATAAATAACACTGGCGCCAAATAGTACACAGAATATAACTATAAGATTTTTTGGGAAGTGCTTCATGGATTAGTTGATTCAATCTTATAGGTAGTGTTTTAAAAATTAATGGATAAATTCATGGTTAAATAACACGCCAAATGCCACAAATGATCTATATTTAGCCAGAACATAATTATAATATTTCTATATAAAATTAATAAGACATATACTTAACAGCTACTCATCGCTTTAGATAGTAGATATCCACTGATTCAGGTAGGGAATGCTTTACTAACCTACTTGTTGTTAAATAAGGGCTTAACGTTAATGTCTGCACATAGTGAAGTTAATACAACACTGAAATATTCTGCGCTCTCCAACACAATCAAGTCTCTGAATTTAATACCGAACTGTCCTTGTTATACTAGGCAAGTTGATAGAAGAAGGTAAAGAATTGGGTATTCGTGGAAATTTGATACCAGACGAAAGCTTCTATGCTTCATCCGTTTCTGACGCCAGTCATGGGCCTCAACGAGGAAGACTAGATCAAAGAGCGTCAGGAGGACAAGGTTCAAGCTGGTGTTCACAGCAAGCCAACAGTATGCAGTGGCTAGCAGTTGATCTAGGTAAGCATCTATTCTTGGGATGTATGTTACGTTATATGATAGCTGACATGCTAATTGACGATAAAACCTTCCTCATTAACAACATGTGATTGAGCTCCAAGACGAATAAATATACCCCTGTCATAAAAGCCCAACCCCTTTCGAAAACGTCTTCTAAGGCCCCTGCTCATGATTAAAGCACTCAACGCCAAATCGAATTGGAACTTACGAGTTAATTTTAGGAGGAAAACTGGAGAACCCAGAGAAGAAACCGACCCTCGAAGCACAGGAGAAAACCGATAAACTCGATAATCGAACCCAGGTCGCAATAGCTAGAGGCTACGCATCGATAGCGCTTATTCTCCGTGCTTGCCAACAGTCTAAACCTCTTTGGCCGGAATAAGGAAATCCTCCTAACTTAAGTTTTGAAATCATGATAATCGAACCCAGGTCACATTAGAGGCGGCGCATCGACAGCGCTTACTCTCTGTGCTTGCCAACAGTCTAAACCGCTTTGGCCGAAATAAGGAAATCCTCCTTAAGTAATGAAATCATGCTTCACATGTAGTTCGTAATCAAGGGACGACTGTTTCCATTTAAATGTTTTCCAGCTTCTCGCTGACGTATGCGCATATGCAACAGACAATACTATTGTCACATTGCGCATATGAATATATCCACATGAAATATGCGCGTTATAAATATTATCATATTATTATTATTATTATCATATTACTATTGTCTTATAAGAAAAAAGGCACCCTTGTAGTATATAATGTTTTTTTTTTCTTCCAGTCTATACAGCCATAGTCACTGGTATTGCAACTCAAGGCCAAAACGACCCCGACTCCTTAGGTGCTAATCCCAATTACACCCAAAGCTGGGTCACTAAGTTTACGTTAGAGTACAGCAATGACAATGATTCGTACTTTTCACTCGAGTACAAGACCGAAAAACCATTGGTATGTATTATTTAAGTGTGCTGTTTTTGCTAAACTTAAAAAAGCTGTTTTTGTTACCTTGAAACGACCTCTGGACTGATCTAAGTCAAGGCATGGCTAACTCACAGATCGAAAACTAAAACACCTACTGGGCTGATCTGAGTTAAGGCAAGGCTAACTCTCAGATCAAACCCTGAAACACCTATGGGCTGACCTAAGTCAGCACATGGCCAGCTCGCACATCGAACCCTGAAACAACCGGAGTCTGGGCTGATCTAAGTCAGGACACGTCTAACTCACAGATCGAACCCAGAAACAACCTCTAGGCTGATTTAACTCAGGGCACGAGTAATCACAGATCGAACCCTGAAACAACCTCTAGGCTGATTTAACTCAGGGCACGACTTATCACAGATCGAACCCTGAAACAACTCATTCACGTCAGAGCAAGCAAACTGTCTGATCGAATCCTAATTTAACGTGTTGGGTTTTAAGGAGAAAAATCCGCAGAAGCCAAGGAAAAAACCCTAAGCCCTCCTATAAATGGGAGACCTATGAAGCTTACATGTAATAAACGATTGCGCGCGCAGTTCACTTGCATGTTTGTTTGTTTTGACCTTGTTTCGTAAAACTCTGATGACTCCAGGATATACTTAACTATCCTCGCGCAACACCAGCTCCATCTTAAATGAATAATAAAGTAAAGTGCTACACTTACATTTTGCTTTGCATGGGAGTCCACGTCTCGTTCTCATTTCGGCACAATACCGACAGCTCTTGTCTCTGATCTATAAAGAAAATTAGAATATTAATAAAAAGCTGAAGGTGCACTGAACAGGCTTCTGAAACTTCTAAAATTCCAACTACAATTTATTAGGATTGTGATGACACACCCAGTTGCCTATATTCTAATTTGCAATAAATACTGAATCAATAAAGTTAACACAAAATCAGTCTTAGTAACAGACTGTTGCATGCAAGTTTCCATTTTCAAAATGGTTTCTTTCAATACTATTTTAGTAATAAAGAAATAGAAAACCCGCGCGCGCGATGTGCGCAATTATAAAGCATACGAGGGGTTGGCAGAACACAAGAGAAGTGTTTGGAGAAGCACGAAGGGTAGCCAAAATAGGCACGCGCTTTCAACCCGTCAGAACGCGAGATTTATAACAGTTATTTCATAATTAAAGTTACTAGTTTTTTTAATATTACTTTAATGTTTTTTTTGTGTTCGTTTAGGTTTTTAATGGCAACACAGATGGCAATAGTATTGTTTGTCATGAGCTGCCCTATGAAATTACCGCGAGATATTTGCGCTTTCGGCCAAAGGAATGGAATGCCAATACGATTTGTCTGAGGATTGGCGTTTTCGGAAACAGTCTAGGAGCAAATGGTAATTTTTGTCTTTGTTTTGTTGTTTGTTTGTTTGTTTGTCGTATTATATAAATAGAGGCTTTGCACCATCACGTGCCGGCGCCCATAATACAGCTTGGACTGATTGTGGTTGGATGGCAGAACAATAAAATCCCTTTGATCCCTGTAATTGAATTCTCTCACATGTAAAACGATTGTATTGTTCCTGCCATCTAACATGGTTGCCGATACGTAATGGTGTGCAAAGCCTCTTTTCCCCACATCTTAAGTTTTCATAATATCCTGTTCGCAAACTATTTGATTTTATTAGAATAATAAGTGTTGAGTAATTAAAACGTTGTACTCTCTCACACTAGCTATTGTAATTGTTACTTTAAGCAACTCTCCTTGGTGACCCAACTGAAGAAGCAACGGGTGATCCTGGGCATGAAGCCATGTGGTGGTGTAAGTATACTGTAAAAATGGACTGGTTGAAACTACCAATGATAATTGGTTAGTTTTTGACCAGTGCAAATGTGAAAAACTATACCAAAATAAAATGGTTATAATAACCAATTGTTAATGGCATACTCATAAATACTCATTTTTATTGGTTAATATAACCATTTCACTAAATTGGTTGGAACTACCATTGATAATTGGTTAGTTTTTGACCAGTGTTAAAGTAACCAATCGACAATGGTATACTTATAAATACCCATTCTTATTGGTTGATTTAACCAATGATGAAATGATTGATATCTTCACGGCAAATGCAACAGGTCAAAGAACCAAAAGAAATTGGCTAAAACATGTTTTTTGACTTACTTTATAATAATTAATTTTTCATAATCATGATTTGTTAGATCAAAGTTGATTAGTCAGCGGTCGAAGGTGACTCTGTAAAGAATACCGCATTGGATGGAAACTCCAGTGGCTTCACGTGTTGAATAAGTTCATTGGTAATTTTCATGTTCGAAAACCACTGGTTTGGCAAATGACTTATCATAAGAAAGATGTTCTAAATATGATGGCGTTTAGCGTTTTCCTGCTTTATGTCAACAGTAAAGCATTGTAATTATTCTGATTCGCTCTGAAAAGACTGAAACACGCGGGAATTATCGTGAACCTTGGACTTTTGAAAGTTGATCTGTTTACCTTCTGCTGTACTTATGTCAACAGGAAGCATTTCTTGGGTTCTGATTCGTCGTTTTTGTGATTAACCTGGAATCAAAACTACGATAGCAAACAATCTCAGTCTCGGACGAGTTAACAGCAAGAGTTTATGAAATGTTTGTTAGGCTGTAATTATTTAAAGTAATGACGAAGGAAGGAAGCAAGGAGGGGAGGGAGGGACGAAGGAAGGATGGAAGGAAGGAAGGAAGGATGGGTGGAATGAAGGAAGGAAGGAAAAATGGAAGAAAGGAAGGAAGCAAGGATGGGAGGAAGGAAGGAATGAAGGAAAGAAGGATGGAACAAAGATAAGGGATAGAAGTTCCAGCCATCGTAATTTATATCTTATTAATTTTATAGGGCCGTTCTTTTGGGTTCTTTTGGCTGTTATCTTGACGGTTCTTATACTAGGACTTCTTTTCTATTGGTGCATTGTACGCAAGAGGTACGAAAGTAACTAACCATTAGCTCTCTTTTCTCGGTAGTTGTAATCTTTAAACAACGAAAAAAAGATTGCACAACCAAAAATAAGACTTGCTACGATTACGAAGGCCATAAATTTACCAGTTCGTTTTACTGTCATGTCGTCACACTCTTTAAATAAAGTTGATGATGAAGATGAGGATGATGATAATAACGATGATGATAATGATGATGACGAAGATGGTAAAGAGGATGATGATAATGATGATGATGATTGTGATGATGACGACGATGATGTTGAAGATTATGATGATAATGATGATGGTGTGATACCGATGATGGTGATGATGATGATAATAATGACAATGATGACGACGACGACGATTATTATTATTATTATCATTATTATCGTAATCATTATTAGTATTGTAATCATTATTATTAATATCATTTGTACCATTACATGACCGAACTGCCCGAAACTACTTTAATGAAAGATTAGAATAAAGTGAATGCAAATGTTAAAGTTGATAGGAATAATTAAAGTTTTTTTTTTTTGCTATCAGGACCTACAGTCAAGAGAAGTACATCAAAATAAAGCCGGCTAAAGCTCCAATTCAGAGACGCCAGCAAAAAAGCTACGTGAATGAGGCGTACGATATGGCTGTGGTAACTAAGTCTGGAGCTACTACGCCAGAGACCGTTGAAGAACTTGACGTAAGTACACCTCTTGACGATACTTTTTGCAGCGCTTCCGACGACGTTGAGTAACAACGGGTCGAGTTAGCATTGCAGTGCATTGTGGAACTGTTTTAGCGGACATTTTTTCAAGATGGCGTCTATTTCGTCCAAGGTCCCAAAAGGCTCTGCAAATCTAACTCGCCCCTATTTTTCACTCAACCACGGAATGGCTACTTAGAAAAGTTCCTTTACTTTCTGTGGATATATTTGCTGCATTTTCTTTTCGTGTCAATCACTCTTTTCGCGTGCATCACTCTTTGAAATAAATTGATCAAACATGCTATAGATCCAGAACGGAATGGTTATTGTGATATGCCAAACGGTATGGACGGATCCAGGGGGTTGGGATGGGTGGCTAGCCACCTCTCTTTCTGAAGTTTTGAAATAATAATATAAAATCTGGATAGGAAACTATACTTTTCTCTAGGTAACAGTAACGCCCTTGAAATTTGGATCCGTCGGCACTGCTAACAGTTCCTTATGCTTCTTATGTCTTGAAGAATTCTACTACCCGATAATATATAACTTTTTATTCGTTGCGTTTCAAGGGGGATGAGATTCAAGAAGTCACAGCTGAGTTCACAGCAAATGAGCAAGAGAACAAGAATGGTATTGTTGGATTTTCTGTTACTGATGATAACGACAAACCCGACGGCGAGGAAGAGGTTGCCAATGGTGACGTGAATTGGGAAAAATACAGGAAGAAAGCTCTACAAAGGCCGGAACACACCTATGTCAATGTTAAGGACATCAATAACGAAATATAAGTTTCTCCATTTCCTGAATAATCTGGCTTTTAAGTCAAAAATGTTAGTCGAACGATACACGTGCCTACAACATTGCGAGAACTTATTTTATTACTGTTAGCCATTCTGAGGTTGAGGGGGAAACTGGGTCGAGTTGGCATTACAGTGCATTGTGGGCCTGTTTTAGAGGACATATTTCCAAGATGACGTCTATTTCTTCCCAAAGAACAGTCCCACAATGGAGTACAATGCCAACTAGACCCAGATTTTTCCTCGACCTCGGAATCATGACAAATATGCGTGGTAGGCAAAAGTGTACAGTATTTTTCTACGTTGTACAAGGACCATGACCTTCTTTTCGTAATCATCGCTTGGCCTTCCCATTAACATACAAATTGAAGTTGCATACCTATTAGTCATAACCTTTCTTATCCACCGCCCCTAAATAATAATAATAACACTAAATAGAATAACAGTAGTCATGAAAAGGTCCATCCTACATGCCGACCTCACAAGTTCTAATAAATAAATTTTGGACTTTTAAGTAAAAGTATAATCGACCTATGATTAAAAGTAAGTCCAGCAAAGAATTTCGGGATAAAAAACCAGGGCTGTCCTGCCAGAATAGATAATTAACTAAAGAAACGTTTTTAGTAACGATTTCGTTTCAATTTTTTTAAATGTTTCTGCGACCAAACAGTTAGTGAGAAATTCCTAAGGAATTTCGTAGGAATATTAATTTCCATCCTTAATATCATTTAATGTGTTACTGTTACAGAGATTGACGTCCATTGCTCAATCGTTAAATAGAGTGAAGGCATTTAAAGTGTAAAACAAAAAAACACTAGTCAACGTGTACTAGTTAAATAGACACAAAAGAACACAATGGGATTAGGGTCTACGAAAGTGTATTAGTCTAATAAACCGTTTTCTCAAGGTTGCGTGCGCATCCAAATTTAAGGAACTTGACGGGCCAAGATACCAGAACACGAGAATTATCATGCATTGCTATAAACATTTTTCGATAAGAATTCATAAAATCGATTATTCTCCTCTTTAAATATAAAACTGGCTTCTCACTTATACTGAAGTTGCGTTTTTCAGTTTTGCGGCCCGTCAAGTTGGCTGCGCACGCAACCTTGAGAAAACGGTCTATATCTGTTTCACGGGTTTAATGACTTCACTCTATTACCATGTAAATTTTCTCTTTGATTGTATAACCGACTCAAATAATTATATACATACCGAACTATATTGTTATTAACCTAGTAACCGCAATATAATGGCACTTGTAGTACACTCAAAAAATTACTCAATTCTGATTGGTTGAGAGCAGTACAAACTTGAAAGTATACATAAGTGAACGTCAGTCATATTGCCTTTCTTGAGCTAGTCTTGGTGTTAAACATTGAAACTAAGCCGAAACTTGTATGCAAAAGACAAATTTCAAAACGAATTGCACCGTGTAACACCCCCAGCTAAGTGAACTGTCGTCGCGAGAAAGTTTCACGAAAGTAGAACTGCTTTATACTCGGGCAACCAAACGTTGGGTCGCGAATAAGGTTCAGGACGAAACTGCGCCGCGTAACACCTCTCTTGAAACTTTCTTCGACATGCCCCAGTGAACTATCCAATCAGAACCCAATATTACCAGCGAACACGACGGATGGTAGTGGTTTCACGAAAATATTGGGTCGCAAAACTTTTCTCACAATGCTGTTGCACACAAGTTTCAGCAAGGCGCTTATTACCTAATGAGCGCCCTGAGTTTCAGCTAAAAGTTTCAACGTGTAACAGCGCCTTGACATGGCCAGGAATACAGAGACAGTGGGCAGACGAAGGGAAGAAAAGAAAGGAGAAAGAAAGCATATGTACTTCACAGCTAAACTGAAAACTAATATCATCTGATAGACCTCTAAAATTTATTTTGGATGTTCACCTCCAGTAGAATTAAAAAGAAATGCTATTGAGAGAAAGACTATATTTTCATATCTTCCTGTTAGCCTTATTTGCGAAACCAAAAGAAGAAGTAAATTCTATTAAAACCATCTTGCAGAGTCATTGAATTGCTAAACTAGTTAAACTTTTTGAAGTCACATTTCACGCAGTGGAGAAATTGCCATTTTTTACTTTAACCAAAAATGGCTATGAACAAGGTACTATATGCACGCCCCAACAGGTTGGACTAGCTTCCCACGTCGCGTGCATAACGTTCATTCATAATGCGCACGAACATGAGCACGTATAGGAACTTCCAATCCTAGCATCAACCCTAGGAAAGATTCGGACCCTTTTCGAAAACATACATTTTGACATTTTGCACCAAAAAGTAGATAATTTACTGTACTGTCACTTTAACTAATAACCAAGACCCACTTCTGCGTTAAAACAAATAATATAGCAAGCTTTGATAAACGCTAATCTTGCTTTGAATAACTTCCATTTGGAATGCCACAGCAGCCACTAAATTTTACCAAAATTGATGCATTATACTTCGTTTTCTTTAATTGTCTTAATTTTAGTTTTCCTTTCCAAAACAAGAAAAAGTGTGCCAGTAAAAACCTAGAAACTTGACACCAGGCTCTAGATGATCAATCTTGTTTCTGTTCCCTTTCCATCATTATCATTTCATAACTTGGAGGACAATCTTCATAAAGCTGGGTGTCAGTAGGCATCATAGGTTCAGTGCGGTTCTGAGGTTCATTTGGGTTCACATGTACATCAGGAACCGGTGTCTGACGAAAATCATCCGATAAAACTTGAGCCAAAGGCGGCACTTCCGATTTCCAATCTCCGGGGTATGAAGCATCTGTCATCACTATTTGTGGCTCAAGCATAAACCACCAAGCATTGGGATCATGGGAAGAGCTGACGCCCTCGTCATATTCCATTGACTCGGGTATAACGTCCGCTGTAAGATTTATTTTAAAGCCTTTGTGGAAGAATTCCTCCAACAAATGAAGAAACATACTGTGAGAAAAGTATGCACAATCACTTGAATCACTCCAAGGTTTGCCGCCCAATTCAAAACTAACGCATGTTGCTGGGACAGCATATTGCGTTTCTGATATCAGTGGTAAATGCCAACGTGTGGAGATCACTTTACGACAAGCGTTGATGATCTTTGGCGGAGCATTGATAACACAAAGCTTGCTTTTTCGAACAGGACTCAGACAGAACACTTTGCAGTCAGGATGAGGGGAGCTTTTTTGGAAAAGAAGTTCACTTTTATTCGACAGTTTCCTTGACATGTCAAATCCTGTGACGATACTCCAGCCATGACTTTTTAGGGCTTCTAACAACTTACAAACGATGAATTTTGTCATGGTGCACAGGGCATCTGGGTCTTTTTCTGTGTGAGATTTGTACTTGAATTCGACTTTTCCTGACTGATGATCTATTATCTTTTCTATAGCGTGACTCATTTTTCCAAATGCATCCACAAGAGCTAAATGGATTATAGGAATTAGATGATCCGGTGCTTCTTTATACACTTGTATTTTGCTAGTCTTTCGCAAACTTATGATGAAGAATTCCGTTGTTGTATCGTAGTGGATAGACTTTGGAACAAAGACGAACGCGTCTTCAGTTCTTTTTAGGTTCATGGCACAAAGAAAGCTGTAACGTTTCATCATCACTATAAATATTTTGGTCAATATAGCTCTAGCCTCTGCATGAAGAGCTGTGGTTGAGCTCCAGAGTAAACCGTTCAATTGCACTTCATAGTTCTTGAGCCCATCTGTTGAGTCCTCGAAAGTAATTCCCGGTTGATGTTCCGAATGCCGCAAAGAATGACAAATCTCATCTAGTGTGTGTTGCTGCAGATTACAGAAATGGAGCTTGTCGTTACTGCTCATGGCCACGTACGCTAATTCTTGGCTTATACGCTGCGTTTCCTTGTGGACGAAGATTAACGTAAACCACTGTCTGCATTTTGTGAGGTTTGCTGCTACTAAATACTGCCAGCCAATATTATGAAGACATCGCAGTATCCGACAAGCAACTTCACGAATGTTCAGCGAAAGCATTCCAGTTTCATAAGGCAGCCCGTTCAGTTTAAAACAAAGTACGCTTCCAGCGCATTTTTGTTTCGTTGCCTGGATACCTTCTTTCCAAGTGTTACTGATGACATGTTCAATTACCGAATGCTCATTCTCGCCGCCATGAATTACCTGGATGTTATCAGGCATTTTGAAAACAACAGCCAAATAACCAAAGCTTTGAGGCACTCGCTTCAGTGGTATGTGTGATTCCTCAGCTCCCATGGCTTGCTGTCTTATTTAGATATTTCCAATGTACAAGTCTGAAAACGGAAATTTAAAAGAAAAATAAGGCTTGTAGGAATGTTTTAAAGTTTGATGGATAAAATATTACTTTAGCAACCTACGCCTTTGCATTATATAGAGTTAAGATGGCAATAATAACGTGATCGAACTAGCGGAATCAATTTTGCGAATATCATGACTCTGATATGATCTTTTAATAAAGACGCGGCGTTTTATTCAGCCAGCAAAAAGCCAAATTACCAGAATCATTCAAATCATCATTTGCATCATCAAATTAATTATTATCGTCATCACTTTCTTCATCATTGCCATCATCATCATCATTTTCGTCATCGTTGTTATCATCATCATCGTCGTCGTCATCATTATTATTATCGTTATCATCATAATAATAATATTCATCATGATCATCAACTACACTATCACTTACATCAATCATCATTAATCATCATTTTCATCATCAAAATAATAATCATCGTCATCACTTTCTTCATTATTATTATTATTATCATTAT